GAATCTTTATATACTAAGGAACCAAAGGCTTGGGCTTGTATTTTTAACTTTGTAGATTTACTTTAACCTGGGATATTTCATGTCAAGTTACAAAAAAATGTTAATTTGAAAAACAGTTCACCCAGCAACAACGGGGGGCATTTATTATCAACTATGAGACACTTTCAGAAAAGCTTTGCACTGGCTTACAGGTTTTTTGAATTATAGAGCCAATTAAGGAGTTCGAGCCAACGAGGAAAAGCTGCATGCATAACATTTTTACTCAGTGACTAAGGCTGAGGTTTATGTAAAGCATATTTTCCAATCTACCATGCTCTGCTAAAGTCTTCATACATTTTTTATACGTTACACCCACAAACTCTACCATGAGTTTATTGGGATTTCATATGAAACACTTTCAGAAAAAAGAGATAAGTGTGAAGGGGAAGGTAAATATGAAATAAATTCGGTTTGAGTCTATTTCCCGTAGAACCTGCTAAGCTGGGTTTTATCTCTACATCCCTTGTTTATCTAGGGACTAAATGCTGGTGAAGATTCTCAGTCATCCAGGTCATAATCATTCCAAAAAAGTTAAAAAAAACAACCCACTGGACTTTGTGTCACAAACAAAGCCTTGTTTTGGCTTAGAAATACGCATGAAAACTTGCTTAGAAAGCATACATTAAAACATCCTAGAGACTTGATGGCTTTCCATTCTCCTTCACAGAATAACTCTTGCTCTGGATTTTACTTTCGATTGAACCTTTGATCTAAACCATTAATTTTTAATTTAGCTGTCTGTAGTTGGTGTATTGGAAGTGAACCTCTGACCCATCTGTGGCAGCTTGTAACAGGGTTTCTAGAGGGATTGCCTCTCGTTATGCGCCATTCATCATCCAAACAACTCTAATCAGCTTCCCTTTACCTTCTGTAGCTAAACATCTCCAGGGCATCATGCTGCCCCAACACTGTTTTATGCTTCATATACTGATATTCTGTCACACCTTATGTTGTGTATGTAGATTAAACTGTTTCATTTTGGGCTCATTTGACAGGAGCAGCTTCTTCTAAAAATATTGTGATTTGGTAGAACTTCTGACTGCTTTCTCTCTGCAATGGTGTCTCCCTGCCCACTCCTCCATAAAAGCCAGATTTTTTAGACTGTATGACGAATGGTTTTCCTGTTAACAGACTCTCCCACTTGGGCTGTGCTTGATCTCTGCACTTGACTCATTTTTGCCTGATGGATTGACTGTGAGAAGTTGACACTCTTGGCGTTGTTTTATAACCTAAGGCAAGTATAAATCTGTCCAAAAGTGTATTATCCTGATACACTTTGCTCACTAATGTTGCTCACTAATGTTTGCCTTCACAGAGCAGCTGTATTTATACTAATACTAAACAACTGGACTTTATTTTGTTATCTTAATGTCCTCTGAAAGACTTTTTCTTACTGAATTTTCTTTGGGAGTATCAAAGTAAAGACGGTTGATCCAAATATACATCACAATTTTTAGATTTGCATTTCTTCAAATCAATAAAAAACATAAATGCTTTTCCGTCAATTTCACAGAAATTAATTCCCAGTAAGATACACTTCAGTTTAAGTAACATGACAAAATGAGAACAAAAAAAATGTCTATAAGACAAAAGATTATTTTTTAAGTAGCGAAACTTTTGAACATGCCAGAATTAGAATTGCTAAAGGTTGACATTATGACACCTTCCTTTAATCAACTGGTTTAATATTGTTAGGTTCACGATTTCAAATGAACATGAAATAAATGAAATGTTAACTGATTAGCATATGATGATACAGCAAGGTAAAAAAAAATAGAGATATTTGTAAGTCAACTTTCATCGGCGTAAAATGATCATAATAAAGAGCCAAAGGTGTGAAGTGCTTGAGTTGACATTGAATGAACCACATTTATTAAACAGTAGGAGTCTTGGTTTGCTCAGCCTATTATTCCACCCACTTCTCTTGTTCATTTTCAGATTTATTCATTCCCATTGATATGAATCTCCCACCGCCCTCCTCCTCCTTTCTCCCATTCTCGCTGAGCGGTTTAGATTCAAAAACATAACCAATGCCATTAACCGGGCGTTCTTGTCATCTTTTTCCTGCTCTGATGCAATCTTGCTTTTCATCCATGACGCTGAGTTTTCTTGACTTGCCTTTTTTTTCGTTTTCTTTTAGCATTTCACAACCCTAATTCATCTCCCGATGTGCTGACTTCAGATAAAGAGATTTTAATGCTTCCAACGACCCAGTAAAGTAGTTTTGAAACTCCAGAGTTCTTTGCCAACTCTCCTTTTTCCTCAGTCCACCCCTCCCATCCCCTCAAAAACGTCTATAAATCTTTCCCAGTCTTGATCTAACACCATCCAAACTTCTGTTGGCATCCAAATTCTTTCGTTTGGCAGATATGCATACCACCTATTACTCTCTGGGTCTATCTCATACCCACACTCATGTATATAAATGCATATACGTTTGTAAAATAAGCAGTCCCTCCAGCTTAAACACATAACCCCCACCAATTTAAAAACAGCGAGTTTCTCTAAACTGCAGAAATTAACCAATTCTGTCATGTAGGTGAGCAAAGTCACGCCTGAGTGCATAAACTATTTAACACATATTCAGAGAGTTGTCGTTGAAACCCCTGGATTCTGGATGGTGGAGGTGGGGAGGGTTGAGGAGGGCGACCCTCACTCCACCGAGGGGGGTTAATTACCACATATGATCAATAATTCATTACGCTGTCAGTTTGTGTGTCTGCATGACTCTCTATGTGTGCTGGCATGTTTTGAGAGCACGAAAGGCATGAGAGCCAAAACTCCCCCAGTAAGCAGTTTCTTTCCCAGGGAATGTCAGATTAAGAGGATTGACTCCGTAATGGATTAACCTCCGGGGTTTTGTGTGTGTATGCATATGTGCGTGCACACATGGCTGTCCCTGCGTGCGTGTGGAGCGATATGTTTGAGCAGGATCAGAGTACCCCCTGTATGAATTGATTAGCCTAAGAAGCTCTTCTCCTTCCCTTTTAATGACCACATCAGCATTTTCCCCCCCTCAACCACAAGCTGGATAAATGTAGACTTGTCTGTCAAGGAAATGAGACGCCGCCCCTTTAAGTAGGGTTAGCTGTCACTCAAATATCACTCTCCTGAAGACTCCCCATAGACAAGACAAACCCTGCTGTGTTGGTGTGTCTTCGGTGATAGATGGTTCCTGAGTCTGTGGGTTATTGCGTGTGGGCTGACTGACCGTCTGTGCACCGTTTATTTGTCAGCTTTTAACTGCAGCCTCCTGCGGTTTCCACCAAAGTCACCGTATCCATTATCTATGCAACTGATATTGTTTATGGAATTAAAGGCATAGGCTAAATAGAAGAAAGTCACCGGCTTAAAAAGGAATACCCAATGATCAATTACTCTGCTGTAATAAGGTACTTTCCTCTTTCCTCTGTGTCTTTGTTCCAACTGTTTTTACTCATCGGGGGTTCATTTTAATAGTCTTACACTTGTGCATACATGCACATAATTGTGCATGTATGCAAAAGTTCACATTCAGATATCCCTGGGCTGCATTTACTCACGTGCCCCACAGTGGATTTTACTAAAAACGGGCCTAACGTTTGACACTATACACACAAGCTCTGACAGCAGCTCGCTGCTCAAAAGCTTAGGATGGTGACACAAACACATGCGGGTGCACATTCTTTCTGACAGCAATTTGTAGAGATAAAATGGTTTGTAGACATTAGCGACAGGGTGTGCAGGACAAGTGTCAGCAGACGTGGGAGCAGGAGAAGATGAAGCCATGATGGAAGCTGGAGTGAGTAAAGTGGAAGAAGAGAGGCTGCTGAGATTTTAAAAGGGAGAGGGACAATAGCTTGCAAAGTCATTTAAACTCCCTAAAATTTGAAACAACAAACAAGTATAGTGGTTGTTGTAAACAACCACTAAACTTGATCAAGATAAAGTTTTGCAAAACTGTAAAACAGACAAACTGCTCACTCAGAATCATTGTGTGCATTTGTATTTAGTCTCAGTTACTCTGTTTTCTCTAAATAAAATCATGTGTAACCAATTATATTCTCTAAATTAATAAATAGAGCTCTGCTTTGTGTAACTTATTTGTAGTTTAACCCTGGAGAACTTAAGAAAACATACAGCCTAATGAAAAAAAAAACAAACAAAGAAAAAAAAAACAGCAGACATGTAAAGAAAAAGTTATTAAGAAGTATACAGCAATGTTGGGCTTTGATGCAATAGCCCTAGCTTTGACACCTCAGATATCTATTAAACAAATCATCATCATCATCAAAAAAAAAAAAGAAACTGAATCATTACAAATGTAATTTTTAGTAAAGATTCTGCTTTGAAGAGATATTCTTATTTTGTATTATCTCTCTAATTTCTATCAGCTCAGTGTGGGGTCTTTTAAAAAGAAGACTCCATACTGTGGATTGTTTTTGTCAGCACCATTAAATTAAGCAGGACAAAAAAAAAGGGAGTGAAAAAAAAACTCATATAAACTCATAAAAACTCGTATAAGCTAAAGTCAGGGGTGTACAAAATATCTTGCAGTAGATTAAACAATTGGAAAAGATTAGGACATGAGCTAAAAACACAACACAAAAACATCAAAGTTAAAAAATGTGCAGTAATCTTTTGGCCCATACCCCAAATCCTGTGCCATGGAAAACTCATATGAAAAATTACTCCCAGCAAACACACGCTTCCCTGCTTCCCTGTCCCTCTTTTCATAGGGCTGGATATAATTTCATACCAACTCATCCGTTTGTATCTTTATTTCCAATATCTAACCACTATGCTATACTATGCACTACTCACCACTAGGCACTATTTGAGCTGATCTCTGGCTAAATATTTTCATGATAAACATTATAGTATATGGTTTTAATGTAAAGTTTGCAAGGCACTGAAAATTGTATCAAAATTTAAATCCATATGGAGAATTCACAGCATGTCTCTTTGGCCAGGACTCCTACCTGTTTGCTGTACTTGTTCGCAGCCTGGCAGCTGTAATCTGAGCACTGGTCTGATCCCAGGGACATGGCATCTGCGTTGCCACTACCTCCTGTGCTGCTGCTACTGGAGCCGGCACTCCCCACACATCCACCACTGCCCACAAAGGTGTTTGAGGGAGGAAGCTCCTGGACCGCCTGGTGCTTCTTTCCCTCAGCTGGGGGTGAATGAGGCTGGAGATTCACTGCAGGGAGAGGTGAACTAGATTTGTAGTGTCTGGCCAGATCTGGGCTTGACTGGTGTCTTCTGCCGCCGCCCATTCTTGGGCTACCGGGGTCCCCTTCCATAGCACAGTAGCGAGCTGCTAGGCGCTCACTGGCACTGCTTAGTTCCTCGTCATCATCATCATTGACGTGGCGACGCAAGCCATTGACAGTGACGATGCCACTGTATAGAGACCTGTCTGACTTCCCTACACCTCCGACTGTACTGCCACTGCCTCCGCCACGCTTGTCTCTTCGCGGTTTCCGACCACGGTCGGAACCACTGCCTCTGCTGGCTTGTGGTTGAGCCCCAGAAGGACTGAAGAAGTCTTCCTCTGGCTCTTTTTTACCAGCCTCATAGCCGTTCTTTCCCTGAGCGCCACACTGCCTGGCAGTTACCACAAGGAGAATCACCAGGATGACTGCTGCAGCTCCCGCGAGGATGCCAATCGCAACACTGAGGCGCTGCTTTCCAAACGCACGTTCACTGTCTGGGTCCCCTGCAATGTCTAGAGACAGCGGGGCCATCAGGCTGCGGGCAACCTGCAATAGAGAGAAAAAGAAGAGAAATAAGATAAAACCAAGTGCACAGTACTAAAAGCAAAGAAAAATCCCAGAATAACATTTTGAAATGATGGCACAGTTGGTGTGAGCCGCAGAGACACATCAAACAGCATCTTCATCATAATTAAACTTATCATTCTGTTTAGTGTGGGAGCTTCTCAGTTATTCGCAGAAACATAAGAGTGTCACTAAATATGTAATTGCTTTTGCCTCCAAGTTCAGGCATTTCAGGTTGCGCCTGTAATTCTTCACGTTTATTACATCACACAGCGGGTATGAGAAATGAACAGGATTAGACTGCCTTTAATCTGATTTTAAAAATCAGAGGAAATTTTAGACACTGAGGTCAGGAGTAGCTAGGAGAACTAAAGAAGCAAAAACAGTAAATAAATGTGAAAACAAAGGCAAGAGGCAGACTATGACTACATCCTAAGGCACAAACACATCTACTGTCTCATCAATAAACAATATCCCTTTTGTAAGCGACAGTGTAGGCGTGGATTGGTTAAGGATTAGTTTTCACAATTTTTTCACAAAGAATTGAATGGATAGACTACGAGGAGGCTGTTTAAAACATGTAATGCTCAATGGGATGAATTTTAAGCTCTTTTTCTTTTGTCCGTCTTAGGGTCTTCCGTTTGCTCTGTAAGCTAATAGCTTTTTTTGTTATAGAGCAAATCTGTGTAAATCCATTTCAAAATCTGTAACGAGAACAAACATTATATAGTGTTTTCATTTGGTGATAAATAACATCCAATTAAGAAAGGATATGGGCCTTCACCTACCCATCCAAACAAATAAAAACGTTTGTGTTTCTCTTCCTTTAAGGATGCTGTAGTGGCTTTACTTCATTTGAGTAATTTTATTCTGCCTTATAATCAATTTATCATCAACATGTACAGTACTGTTAAAAGAAAGTATTTTCCTTTTTGAAAGGTTTTTGCATTTTTGCTTTCTTTGTGTAACTAAAATGTTAACATCAGAGAAAGAAGATTGAAGTAAATTGAAAAGTCACCTTTTAAAAAATGAATATAAAATATAAGTAAATATAAACATAAACAAAGTAATTGCTTTAATCAGTTATTAACAGGATGTTGGTCAAATAAACTTGACAAGCAATATTCCACATTGATGAAAAGAAATTCAAAAGAAACAAGATATAAAATCAGTGACATCTATCAAACTGGAAAAGGATTTAAACGTCAGTCTATGGCTTTGAGACTTCAGCAAATAACAGTGAAACAAAAAAAAAAAGAAGCAAGGAACAGTGATAAAGCTTCCAAGAATTTAGAACCCTTTTAAAAAGTACTTCAGGAGTGCATCAGCTAGTCATCTGACTTACCCTCCATATAACCCCAAACCCCTTCAACCAGTAAATCATAAACAATGTCCAAATACATTAAGCTTAATCTTCTTGATCTGTCAACGACAACAAACCACCAATTAAACCAACAAAAGGTCAAATGAACAAATTAAAGAATAAACACATAAATAAATACATAAATAAATAAAATGTTGGTGTTAACTATGCAAAGTCTGGATTTAAATCTGATTGAAGAGGCTGTTTGTGCTCTAAACCCCCTAATTTACAAATGCATGATGTAAAGTGGACCTATTCTAATATTCATGGGGAAATAGCTTTTTACATGAAATTTCAGTTATCTGAAAACTGCTTTTTTAAATCATCCCGTTATCAGTTTGGTTTCAAAAAGTATTGATCTGAACTTTAAAGCAGGGGTGCCCAAGTCAAATCCTTGTAAACCACTAACCTTGCGTCTCTTCCCATCTCTAATGCACCAAAATCACACCTTCAAAGCAGGCTTTAACACTTAAAATCATTTATTAGAAGAAAGTGGGTTCTATTATAACCTAAACTTGCTCATTGCATGATATTACCTATTCCACTATAAGTGGATTCACAGTTTTGAATTCAGCTTCATTAGAGATCCATTAAATAATTTGCATAAATTATTTTGGAGACACCAGCATGAACTCTTATATTTTGGAACAGTCCATATTTACTAACCCTATTAATACTAGTCAATAACTGTTATAAATCTAAGCTTAGGTTAATTAAGACAAGCTCAAACCCTAAAAACGATGAGCTACTGGATTAGGACTCGTTTTGGTACAGAATACTCAAAACCCTCAAGAAGATAGGTCACTGTACCAGGAAAGATTGTTAACCAATTCTGTCACAAAAACAAGTAGACACACACAGAGGCACGCTTGTAGACTTGTAAAAGCATCATTAAAAGAAAGTGGGTTATTCTGAACCAAAAGCGCACTCATTACACTTTATTGTGACTTTCTCAACAGCAGAAATTGAGGCTGCAGAGTTCTTCACAGAAGATATCCTGTGAAAACTTTGTTCGTTATAATCATTATGAGGACCCCAATATAAACTCAGGCGCTGATGCATATGCATGATCTACACAAATTTGCACCAAGTGTAAGCTGACTGTTCGCTAGACGGCTCATTCTGCAGCCTGCACCTTGTCTGTGAGCTCAAATGACAAAGTCTTTGGCCTGGCTGGGTGAGGAATGACAGACTCTTATAATCCCTGCAGCAAATAAGAGTGCCTGGTAATAAGGCTCGCAGGAATGTACAGGAGAGTGACTGAGCCACCGTACTTTGAAGTGGCCGAGTAAAATAAGTTTTGCACAAGCTGCTGCATTAGTAATACAGCAGAGAATTTGCTTAGACGACTGCATTGTGAAACTGGCTTATTATATTATCCGAGACATATACAGAGGAGCTACATTATTGCCCTCTTTTCCTCTTGCTTCCCCCCACAGCTCAGAGTGACACTGTTCTGTGTTCATAGTTTCAACCTCATCTATTTCTGAGTTGAGTTTCATTGTTAGTGAGTTGTGTTTGTTTTAGTCCATTGTTCTGCTTCCACTGCAAAGATGCCTCTCTGCCAGGCTCTGCTCTTCCCATCATAGCCCCGCTGCTCCCCCTTGGTGCCTGCAGTAATACCATCTATTCTCATTCTGCTGGGCATCCTCAACGTGCCTTTCTTTTCCCACTTGGGGTGAAAAAAGTGCAAAAACAAAGCTTCACGCACACAGATGCTTTGTGAGAGCTCAGAACAAGTGGAATGACCAGGCATACTTGAAGCATTAATAGTGTAAAAATGTACATTATGTGTATGTACGTAAACTTCTATGTGGGAGAATGTGCCAAAAAAGTAGTAACACATCAAGGGCCAAGCTCACACAAGCTCTACAGTATGTCTATAGGCACACTCGGGGAACTGTAAGTTTCCAGTCCTTTGATACAGCCCGGAATCCCAGAGGATTCTTTGATTCTGCTGTGTGTGCTTTCCACTTGCTGGACTTAGCATCTCTTTCACTCCTACTGCAGATACCCGCCATAGGACCAAGCATGACCAGAGCTACACTGAAGATAGGGTAGATATCTGACAGGAATACAATAAGAAAAACAAAAAAATAAATGAACATCTTAAGAGAGAGAGATGTCCATCTAAGAATTAGTTCGAAGGGTTATTTCACCGTTTTATATCAAAATCCTAAATGTTTGCTGACCAAAAGTTCTAGAGTTCTTCTTTTTTTGCCTATATTCCCATATAAATAAATATAAATACCACACTTCCTGCAATAGGTTAGTAGAAAAAAAAAAAAAGGCAAATATTAGAAAAATGTGAGGAGATGGAAAGATAGATCGATGCTGATACCTGAATTGGATATCCGCTCCGATATTGACTAACTAGCTGCGTCAGATATCAATGATTTTATATTGGATACTGGAGAGTGAATCCATTACATTTTAGATCGAACTGTTATTTCTTTCTTTTTTCAGCTTACTTTTTAAATAAATAATATAAATAAAATTCATTACTGGGTTATTTTGTCAACTTTTAGCTATGTTTATGTCAAGGCTAAAGCCTTCTGTAAGATGGCAAGATATATGGTTCATGCATTTAACAGTTGAATCGGATCGGTATCGGATACTGGTCGATACGTTCAGCACAGGTATCGCTATTGGATTGGATCTGGAAAAAAATTGATTGGTGGGTGGATTGATGGACAAAAAAGAATGATGGAATACAATGTTAAATAAAATTAGGTATGGGAATAGATAAAAATGCTCCTTACCCTGTTTTTATTACCGTACACCTCAGACATGGAAAAATTCTAATGAAATTCCAGACTTTTCCATACTGCACAGGAACCTTTAATACAAGTACAAAAGCCCCAAGCTACTTATCCATGCAGCGTGGCTTTCATATGCAGAGTTCCTCAAAGGTATCAAAATGACAACAATGACACACAAGGACCACAATGTCAATTTTCTCTTTCTCAAACTCGAAGCCTGCAGCATAATATTACAGATAATTACTAAACATGTGGTTCGCCCAGGACGGTTAGATAGAAAAGAGCAGAGTAATTTTCTGCCACCGTGCTGCAGCAGTAGCAGCCGTTTTCATTCCCTAATTGCATCTGGCATCCGTCCACCACCCAGTTTGACTTCATTATGAGATGGAGGTATTCTGTCTTAAATGACTTCTACTCAATTACGCCACCAAGTTCCTTCCTACAATCAAACTAAACTGTGCATGTTGTACTCAATGGTGGCTTTCAGACCAGCTTAGCCATATTACACCCTATTGTTTGATTTAATAGCTGCGGCCATTTAGGCACGCTGCAGATAATTCTACCTCTTACTAAATGTTCTCTTCTAATCCTCACATCCTTGATTTTCCTTCTTTCTTCTTCTCAGTGTCACATGCAAGAAGTGCTCTTCTTAATAGCTAGTGATGAAATGATACAACTGCTATCTGTCCTTACTTGTTTCTCTTTATTCAAAAGCAGATTGTGGCATTACTGAACACATTCTCTTTCACTCAAAGGTAACATTTCCTTTAAAGTCTTATTCATGGATCCCGATTACTTCTAAAGCCTACAAAGCAGGTTTTACTCATTTGTGTTTGACAGTCAACAAACTGTACAAACTCTAAGGAGCAAACATATTTTTACATAATTCCTGTGCTCCTGGATTTTGTAATCTTTGCTGCCTTTGGGAACGCCTCAGGGGGTGAAAATAAGGTATCAAGCCACTTCATACTTCAAAAGTGAGTCAATTTTCATTCTACAGTCCACAGCATCATAACAGCAAGAAACATGTTTATTGGCTGTGATAAAAGTGTTTTTAAACTGTACAGCTATGGTCATTTGTGTGAATCAAATGAAAAGCAACTAAACTCTATTTCTTGTTTTTTTTTCTTTTTGTCTTAGTTTTATGGAAGGCTATACCTTCTGGAAAAAAAGTACACTCCTTATCTCTCTAATATGAGTTTTTCTTTAAATCTAAGACAGTATTCTTCCTTCTCGTATCCTCTAACATTATTGTGTGCTGCAAAGTAAAAAAAATAAAAATCCTTCTGTAATGGTTCATCTAATGTTTAAGTTCAAATAAATAAATCATCACTTTTATTAGGGCCAGTTTTTACCAGGTGTGGCCCCTTGCAAAGACTAACTTCCATCTTTCTTGGTCTCACTTCAGATAACTAACTATAGTGTCCAAAATGCTTTAACCAACCTGACTGAACAAAACAAAGAGCCGTACATCTATGACCACTCTTTTGTCCGCTCTTCACTTGTTTCCTGTTGAATTTGGGCTGAAATGTAATGTTTTATAGATTGATTTAGGTGTCTAAACTCTATGGGCCCATCTTGTCTCAGTGAGCTGTGGCAGCCCTACACTCCAGCGAGAGCCCTGAGATCAGCCAACCAGTCTGATGGCGGTCCATAAAGCCAGGCTAATATCCAGAGGCGATAGAGCTTTACCTGTGACAGCGCTTGGACTGTGGAACTGTATTCTTTCATCTGTCAAGTCCTTGCAGCCCTTAGGTCATTTTAAGTCCAGACTGAAAATGTACCATTTCGTCCCATTTTAAACAAAACAAAACTACTAATATGTCCTGAGTAGCATCATTGCACATCTTGATTATAAACTGTAAGCCAATTATTCTTCGGGAAATGAATCCAGCTGAATAAAATTGAATTGTGTTTTTGGACTGTTCAATCCAGATTCCCAAGTGGACAGAGGTCTTAATTTAATTTGGACTGGCCCCCATAACATATTCAGTATTCTCTGACCAAACTATTCAAATCTAGCTCTGTTTATACATTCAAATGTGTTTTCATGAAGGAAGTTAAACCACTATTCAAGTCTTTAAAGGAAAAGTCCGGTCAGCAAGGAACGATCAATGGATCATTATCTATACCTAAAACTAATAAGTTTGCAGTGATTTAATTAATTTAGCATTTATCAGTAAAAAAATTTAAATAACAATTTTCGTCGCCGCGACTGAGTCATTTTTGCCCAAATATAGTAACACCTCACTCCTGACATCTTCCGGCAGTGAAGTCACAGTGCAGTAAGCCTAGCGCCATTCTCCCCGCCTTACAAGCAAAATCAAAGGGAACTGCTATACACACCTGCAATCAACAACAGTTATTTTGGATTTCGAGAGGACTTCGGCATTGAAATTTAGGAGAGCTATAGCTAAAGTGACAATGCCCACGTGCATGGCAGTTGGATGTTGCAATACGTGGGATAAAAGTGAAAAAAAAAATTTATTTCACCTTTCCAATTCATGATCCACCAAAGACGGGTTTGTCATTGGATTGCCAATTTGAAGATGGAGGATTTGCCATTGAACTTCTGGCCAGAGACAGAAACACGTAATATGTAGCCAACATTTCAAAGAAGAATGTTTTCAAGATGACTTTGAATTAGATGAGATATTGAGAGACATTGGGACTTGCTTAACTGCCCATACCGCACCATGACGTCATAAACCGGTAGGTGGCAGTAGAGTTCTTTGATGAACTTGGATGCCTCCAGTAAAGCACATTCAAATGAGAACTACTCTTAATTAAAAACACTTATCATTTATTGAACAATATGAAGTCTGAATTCTGAATATGACTGGACTTTTCCTTTGAGGTTTTCTTCTCAGACTACCTTATATCTCGCTCAATCTATCTTTTCATGCCCTCCCAATTGAGGTGGAAAGCCATATCCTGGAAGATCTGTACCTGTACTTTACTTCCCTTGTCTTTGTGATACTATTTATTCAGTAATTTTCTCCAGAGGTCTAATGAGGGCTTCACCAAACAGCTGGCATGATGGTGAGATAAAACAAATTACAGACAAGTGGACTTCCATGGGTAGTTGACAGCACTTAATTAAAATAAGGGTTTCTATATTATAAGGAGCTGAATACAAATCAGTACAACCTATTTTAGAGTTTTATTTTTTAAAAGAAAACAATAAAACCTTGAATTCCTGTATTTCTTCTTGGTTAAATAGTTCTTCAATATGGGCTATCACATTAAAAATGTTAATAAGTTACATTGAATTGCACCTTTGTTGAGGATGGCTGTAAGCTAGAAAAGGGTTTATCTTTCTGCATATGTTGTCTGCCAATACCTGACCGTTAACGATCCTCTACTTGGAGCATGCATGAATAAAGTGTTAAAAACTAAGTTTGAAGTGCAACTTGAAACCACTAGCGCTGTGTTTTCAGGAACAAACAAAGGAACTACAAGACCATTGAGACAATTTAATTATAAGTCAATACAAATTACCTGTTTTTCACACCAGAGATTAAGCTTTAGTAATTATAACCTGCCAGCATTTATAGCTTAATTGAACAGTTTTAAACCATAATGGGAGGGAGATTAAATTAATGTGAGGGCAGAGCAAGGGGAAGGATTTAAACAGCAAGGCATAGCCTGAATTGAAACACATAATGTTCTAGTTATTTCTAGTATCTCAGTAATGTCTCTGAAGTTTATCAGTTACCTCTGCAGATGGCATGGATCTAATTTAATGTTGGTTTTCTGTTCAAGAACATATGGACACATGCAATTATAACAGCAAATACTTTTTACGACCCTTTTTGCAAAATAAATATATATATTGCTGAACAAATACTGACCCTGCAGTGTTCACTGCTGACCTCAAAAGCTTGTAAATATTCAAAAATATAGGAGCCACTCCTTAACTTTTACATCTATTTAAATGTTAAAATGTCCTTCTATTTGTTCAGTTACAACTGCAAAACTGGGACAGGGCTCATCTCTTTCCCTCTTGCTTCTCCAAAAGACTTAACCCTAATGCGCCCTCTTTCTCACTCTCTCTCTTACTTTGACACACACACATATACTAACACAGCCACACCTAAAGCTCTCAGCTCTGAGCTCAATGTACCATAAAAAACGAACCACTTCAGTCATAACAGTGATTCTAACCACATACCCATTACAACAATGCATGCTGGACAAAGAACACGCTCCAGGAACTGTCTAAACTACAAAGCAGATTGCCTGTGGAAACAGTGTTCTCTATCTGGAACAAAAACACTGAATTATGTGTCTAGTCATTGTAGAAAATCAGAACACTGTAAAAGCTACACCACTGCAGTTAGCTAGTTGTTTCCCCGAGAAACTAAATACTTTGTGCAAGACCAATCATCACCACTCTTTTTAGCAGTCAGGCTATCAGTGTGAAATTGCAAGTTATGACAGAATAGTTACTGAGATAATTTCTTGATAATACTATAAGCTTTTTAAAGCTTGCATGTCTGGGAAAGGATTTCAAATCGGGTTTGTTATAGCATAAATTAATCAAAAAACATAAAAATTACCTGTGCATCCACTAGGGTGGCATTTGCCAAACTCTCATTGATGAAGACGTGAACCAGTGCGGTCGCACAAAGGGAGGGGATTCCACTATCGTTGACTCGTACAACAAGGCGATGCAAACCTCTGTGGCGTCGCTCCAAAGGTTCTGCCAGAGTGATTACTCCATTAGTTTGGCCAATTTCAAAAAGTCTAAAGGGATTTCCTCCCACTAATGCATAGTGGAGTTCTGCATTTGGGCCAGTGTCTGAGTCTATGGCTGTTACAGTCCTGACAATGGTGCGGGCACTGCTGGCAGGTGGTAGGAGTGTGTAGGATTCATTGGCAGGAGAGGTTATTGAAGGCGCATTGTCGTTTTCATCTGTCACAAATAGGGAGACAGTGGCGGTGGCAGTTTTGCGTGGCTCCCCTCCATCCACGGCCCTAACGCGGAAGGTGTAGGTGGAAAGCTTTTCACGGTCAAAGGATGCAGCTGAAAAGATTGTTCCGGTGTTGTTCTCAATGGAGAATAGCTCTTCTTGCTCGTTTCCGCCATCTTCTCCTTCCACTTTTTCCCCTGTTGTCTTTGTGTCTGCCCCAACCCCATCTACCTCAACAAAGAGGCTAAGCTCAGCATTTTCACCTTCGTCAGCATCAGTGACTGTTACCATGCCGACGGGACTGTTGGCAAGTAGGTTCTCCTTCACATAGAATGTGAAGATCTCTTGAACAAACTTTGGTGCATTGTCATTGCGATCAGTTACCTGTACAAGAACAGTTGCAGAGCCTTGCAAAGAAGGTGTTCCTTTGTCCTTCGCAATTACTCTCAACTCATACCTTTCTTGTTGTTCCCGGTCCAGGGTCCCTGTAGCTCTGATATCACCATTATCTGCATCTATGTAAAAAGGTCCGTTAGACCCAGGATCCAAGGAATATGCAATTTCAGCATTTTTTCCACTGTCTGCATCTGTAGCTACAACAGTGACCACCCTTTCACCAGGTCCATTATTTTCAGCAAAGTGGACCTCCACATTGCTCTGGGCAAAGATTGGGGCATGATCGTTGATGTCTACCACCCGCACCATCAATGAGCTGTTACTGGATAGACTGGGACTGCCAGAATCTACTGCAACAATGGTTACACTGTACTCTTTTGTGGCCTCATAATCCAGCAAGGCTGACGTATGTAAGAAATACTTCTTCTTGTTTCTGTGGAGACAGATGAAAGGAAAGATGTCAACAATACTGAATAAGTAACAAGATAATATCTGTCTTGTTACTTAATGTAGTGAAACAAAATCCCTAATATGCCTCTTTTTGAAGATTTTGACTTTAATCATTTAATTGGTCAATTAATGTCCAATGCTGTCTTACATTACCAATCCTAAAATAGAAAAAAATTTTGGAAACACTGATTTAGTTAAAATTAAGGATTTTAAGTTTCCAACCATGTTGAACTAATTGAGACAGTTGTTAATATGTCCTTAATAAATCCAGTATGTAACTGCCAGGAACTGGTCATCATATTTTGATCTTTAGTAATAAACTACAATGTTTAATAAATTCATACAGTATCTATAGAGTTGATTATACTATTGAGTAAAAATATATTTTATTGAGCAAATAACATTAATTTATAATATTTTTAAACACCAAAACTCACTGATGAGATCAGAGAAGAGACATTATTAGTGAAATAAATATGACTGTGACTGTTTAACCAGATTACTGTAATCAATTTTGCGTTAGATTAATCCTATGATTTAAGCTTCAGCAAATTTCTTTACAAAGGAATACGCAAAGACTCAATATTACAAGCCTCATTGTACAGGTCAACAGTATTTGAGGACTGTTAATAACACAAAGGGAGTTTGACTCCTTCCCCTCACGCCTTTAGGCAATGTTCTCACAAATGACTGAAGAGAATTGACATTTAGAGCCTGTGAGGCAAAAGTGACATTAAAAAATGTAAATCCCTTCACCTGCACAGAATATTTCTAACAGAAGTTTATAGAAGGGATGACAGCCTAACTACTCTGTAGCATTAGCGGATGAATGACACTCCTTGAACCAAGATCAAATTACATTTTCATATAGTTATTCAAGCACTCTTTTTGTAAAAGAGAAAAAGAAAACAGGTGGAAGGGTGTAGAAATAATGCTTTCTGTGAGTGGAAACAGCAAAACTTGAGAAAAGATGTCAGATATATCATCTTTATGTATGCATGACATTACAATTTATTAAAAAAGTACATACCCTTTTATTAAAAACTTTATTGATGATCTTTTACCTTTTAGTTGTATGTATGGTAAATAGTGTGAATGGTCTATTACAGTAAACTCATGTTAGCACTGAATACTCAGCTCTAACTTAAACTAGTGGAAAACCCTTTCGGCTATATCAGTTTACAGTATTCAATTTTAAAACACTTGGTGCCAATTTCAATATGGTATGTAATGCAGCTTTTTCAACCATAATATGTGTAATTCTAAATTTTTCATTAAAGTCCTCATTTTCAGCATTTGTTTCAAACCAAAACCATTGATGGGATGGGTTTTCAGATACACACACTTTGAAATATCTAAGCAGCTTCCCAGGAGATTTATTATCTGTTCTAGACTTATTGATTAAGTGCACTGAAGGAATTAATAGCTGAAAACCAATGTGGCCTCGATTCATCTGTTAGCAACAATTCAGGATGCCCAGATCGGGGATGGCGTTAAGACCTCTGACAGATTAAGTAAAAGTACTGATTTTCTCATTATTGTGGCACCTGTGAGTAGTTGGGATGGATTCAACAGCAGGGGACTATTGTGTCCTCAATGTAGACGTGTTGAAAGCAAGAGGAATGAGCAAACATAAGGATTTGTGTTTGATCGTGTGCCAAATTTTTATTGCTGGACAAATTCATCAGTAAAAGCAAAAAAAAAAAATGAAGGATAACTATTTAACTGGAAAAAGGCTCCTTGTTGCATTATGTCTAATGGAACAAACAAGCTACTCTACCTCATTATAAAAGGTATTAGAAACCACAGAGAATCACAGTTTGCTTTGTCAATATGTCCAAGCTGGGCATTATTTTAAGCCCGCTTGGTGTGCACTGCTACTTTTAATAGTTACCACTAGTTTGGCTTACCTGTCAAAGGCTTCATCTGCAGGTGGGGGTGGGAGGAGCGTTTCGCCGGCTGGCTTCAGAGTAAATGGGACATCTCCTACGACCGTGCAGGTCACCGCCCCATTCTCCCCCTGGTCCCGGTCAGACACCTGAACGAGAGCTACAGGTGTGTCCACCAGAACATTCTCTGGCACCAGTGCCGCCCCATCCCGGACCAGAATCCGCCCGATCTTTCTGATCTCTACAACTGGAACATTGTCGTTTTCATCCCGCACAGCCAAAACCACTGTGGTGCGGTCAGTCCGGGGAGGCTGACCCCGGTCCCTGGCCATCACTGTGAACTTCAGCTGCGCCACCTCCTCCCTGTCAATCCTGTGAAGAACGCTCAGCCAACCAGTGGCCTCATCCAGGCGCAGAAGTCGCCTGACATTCTCAGTGGCAGCTCCAAAAACGTACTCCACCTGCCCATTCACTCCGATGTCTCGATCAGAAGCTCTGACCTGGAGAACAGGTGTACCAGGAGGAGCATTTTCAGTCATCTCAGCTTCATATGTGGACCTCTCAAACTGTGGGCTGTTGTCATTCACATCAGTGATAGAAACCCGGAGCAGAGCCTGAGAGGAACGAGGTGGGTTTCCTCCATCTCGAACTTTGAGGATCAGCTCATATGAGTCCTTCTGCTCTCGATCCAGTGTGCCCTTCACGATGAGCTGAGGCTGCTTCTCACCATCTGGTATGTCCGCTACTTGCAGCTCAAACACAGTGCTCCTAGCTCCTCCTCCACTATCACCACTTCTGCCCCTGCGGTCAAGTCCATCCACTCTAGTAATGGGGTTTCCTCCTACTGTGCGCCTTGTTGAACTTGACCCAGCTCCATTATCTTGGATAAGCTCGTAGCGATCAATGCCATTCCGCCCAAAATCCCTGTCAGTGGCAGTTGGGAGCAGGTACAGAGTGCCAATGGGGCGGTTTTCCTCCACAGAGAGCTGCAGGACAGGTGAGGGGAAGGAAGGCGTGTTGTCATTGATGTCTGTGATGACAACTCTGCCTTCAAACAGATCTACCCAGCTCTGCAGAGGCCCGATCACTGACACCTCAAAGTCCAAGAAGCAGTCATTCTCGTCAAAGATCATCTGACACTGTGGGAGCTTCTCTCGGTCTATGCGTCGCGGGCCTGTGGTCAGCTCACCTGTCACGTTGTCAATCTTGAAGTACTCAGAGCCGCTCTCCAGGGCGAAGGTGACATCCCCGCTGCCGGTGCCCGCTGTGAGGCCCAGATCGGTGGCCACGCTGCCGATTCTGACATCCGGCGGGCCCTCCTCCGCCACCCGGTACCGGAGAGCTGAGTCTGCAGCCGGTAGCTGAGTCAGCAGCTGCAGCAGCAACACCACAAAGTGCACTGCACCAAGCCGCGGCATGGCTCCTTCTTGCTTTCTTCCTCCTCACTCCCCCAGCGGTGGGCTCCTCTCTTAGTTTATTGGTGTTTTGCGGTCTGGTGCAGCTTCACAGCGTGGGTGTCTGATTTATCCTTTCTTACCTTCTCTATCGCTCTCTGCGGACTGGAGTCCGGGAAAAAAAAAAAGCTTTAGTGTAGTTCACTTCAGGAGATCCTTTCTTTCTTCTCTTTTTCCCCCAACTCTCCTCCTACACTCAGTGGTGGGTTTTCAACTTCTATGAAATTATTTCTGCAGTCTTACTCCCATCTTTAAGGGTGTAAAAAAAAAATCCATCCTTACTTTGCTGTTCTTCAACCTTTGATTAAATCCACTTCCCTCTTTAAACCGTAGAGCTATCCTGAAGAGGCTCTTATCAATTCATAACACCCATTGGGAAGTTATTTTGATTCCGGTCACATTCGGGACAGAGGCTTTTCACTTAGAAACTGCAATGCAGCACCACTACACAAAAGAAGCGAGAAAAGATAGGGATGATTAAAAAAATAGAAACGCTGATCAGTTCGGATAAATAACAAATAATAATAATAAGCTGAATTATAAATTCAAAGCTCTATTTGCTGCTGTTGAATCTTTATCTTACCTTCTAATCCAGGCGCGTTTCCCGCAGTGGAGCAACGTGCCAAGCGCTCAGATTCCTTTACGCAAGTTAGGAGAAGAGAGCGACTTTCTTCAAATCTTTTCTCCTCGCAGAAATAAAAGGAAAAAAAACAACTTGTGTCTCCCCCTTTTTTTTGGAGTTGACAGCCTCCCCCAATATATATCAGTTTGGGAATAATCCGTCCTCTGGATGGAAGGGTTGATGGATGCAAGCTTGCAGCGGCGGTGGACCGAGAGGAGATGCGGCTTTCTAAGAGTCCCGCATTCTCTCACTCCTCCTCCTCCAGCTCTTTCCCCCTCCCTCTCACCTGCGATGCTCGGGACTGCTGCTGCTGCTGCTGCTGTTGCCTCCCCTTCAATGCTGCAGTCTCTTTCTCTCTCTCTCTCTCTCTCTCTTAGCGCTACTGCAACATTTTCCCCGGCCACGTAACTCGATCCATGAGCTGTAACAGGAGAGGCAGCAGAGGCGGTGCTGGGTCTCTCTCTCTCTCCCTCTGTCGGCTACCGTGGACAGACCTCAGCCCCCCTTTCCTGTCATAGGAAGATTAAATGGCTTTGCTGTCCCGCTCGTTGACAGCTCCTGGTGGGGAAATATCTTTATTCACATATTCATACAAGGGGACAAAGAGCGACGGGGGAGAAAAGGAGTGATCTAAGACCAGTCAGCGCATGCAGGGTTCAGGCAGATTTTCTGCTGGTGCAGCTCTTTTTCTGCAGGGGCAAGTGGAGAAAAGCAACATGCAGCGTGCGTTCTTTATTAAAAAGTATATATAGTTTGGTGGGGTTTTAAAGAGATTGCCTCCTAGAACAGGTTTAGGAGAGGAATCAGTAATAGATATTGATATTTAGACAAAAAATGAAAGAAAGATGTAGCAACTCTTCCGTTTTTGAATCACATTTAAAAATACATGATTCAAATGAATACCATCACAGTTGCTTCATGTTTGAAAACATAGCTACTACTACAGTGCAAAAAACTGAAATCTAAATAAGTTTTTTTCTTTTCTTTAAATAAGTGAATTTCTTCTTGAATTGAGGAGGTAAGTGAGAAATTTTGCCAATGCAACAAGACAATTTACATTTAAAATAAAAAAAATAATAATTGCATTGCCTTATTAAAGTACATATTATCTTATTATCTTATAATAAGAGTAAAAATACTGATTCCATTGGCAAATCATCTTATTTACCTACTGAAATTAAGGCTAAATACACTTAATTTAAGAAATTTTTACTTATGTCCAGTGGCAGTTCTAGACCAAATGTTCCAGGGGGCCAGCGTGACTTCATGGGGGCCCCAAAAAAGCATGAAATAAAAACACAGGGCAAGCGATTCAAGTATATTAATATAGCTCCATGAAGTTAAATCTCTATTCAATTATGTTTAATTTAAGTTATTTTTTTATTAGGTCAATATAACATTCATAATTTAGGAATTTTACATATTTTTGACTTCTTTTTTAAGTTAAAATTACTGTTTTCTAAAAAATCAGAATTAGAACTCATGAAAAACTGATAAATTCAGCCATAAAAATTAGAGCAATTTGTTTTGAAAAAAAAAAAAAAATACATTTTGCAGATGAAAACTGAAATCTTATCTCAGTACCTGAAGCTATCACCTTATTGTTTTTAGATAACTAGTAAAACAGAATATGTCAAGAAAAAAAAAAAAATGAAATACATCCAAAGGACCTATCAGTAACCATGTCTATTCCAGCGCATATCATCATTAGTATTTCTTTGAGTATTATGTCTTCAGTACAGGGGCTATAATATGGGCCAGGACATGATCAACTGGGGCACTGGCCCCCCGTTGACCCCTGTCTAGAACCACCCATGCTTATATGTAGAATGTTTTTGCAGCGTAGACCCATGCAGATCAATTAAATGATGCATCTCCTACTGAATATAATAATTCTAGTTTAAAGCATGTATGTTTTGGAAATGAGAAAAACAGAGTTGTGTGTGATCTTCCTTGCATTGGTTTTCTTACATGGGTCTTACGTAGAATTTACAAAGATAAAAATATTTCTACATATTGATTTTGTTGGGCTTTTATACGGTTCACGTTACTATTCTACGCCATTTTCTCCGAGTATTTGTAGTCGGAATGATTTGTATTCAGACAACGTTTTGTTCTCTTGTTTCTTTGTGTGCAGCAGTATCCTCCACCTCCTCCTACACACTGCTGAGTGGATGTTGTCCCTCGGCGGACCGACCTGCTCTGGAGGAGCGCACTGCAGCAGCGGTCTGCTGCTATCGAACACTACCTGTGTTTCCACGCTGCTGCTCTGTTCAGTCTCCCTCCCTCCCCCGCTCCCACCCGCCTACATATCTCATTTTCAAGCTGGTCAGGTTGTGTAGTGAGAAGTGCAAACTAAGCCAAGTTTGAAAGCAGGGGGTTCCCTTCCAACATAATGGTATTGACGGAGAGCGCAGTGTGCGCCCTGCATGTCGCCAGTCAGCGGTTGTGTCTGGCGGACAATAAACAAGGATCAGAGGATGTTACAGATTTTTTTGTGTTTCCCTTTCCCATTCAACGATCCTTCTTTAAAATCTTTTCACTGTGATACTGTACATTTCAAAGAGTCATTTTATCTTATAATGTTGTTTTTTTGGTGCTGTTTCCCCAAAATCTGTCCAACACTTGGCCTACTTGGAACTTTACAACAGTTTGAACACTTTATTTAATAATAAATGTTAACTTTGGTTTTTGCCAAACATCAAGTTTGGCATTTTTATGTTTCTTATATATTGGCTATATCAAAGGCACCCATTTTAAGAATAAAGAAAAAAAAAAATCCTAGTTTATTGAGCCTGAGAATAAACACCATTGCTGTTTTGAGGAGAATCTGTTTTTTTTCTTTTTTTTTTTTATAGCAATTCTGCTTGTTTGTGAACTGAAGGGCGGCTGATGGTTGAGAGAATCGTATTATTTAGCTGTACTTTTAATTGATCAAGAAAGAAAAGATGAGTGATCTAAAACATGTATATCCAAGCTCAGCCCTGAAGCCTTACATTGAAACTTTATGAACTTAAGAAAAAGTTAAGGGTATATTCAAAAATTCATTTTAATAACTTAAAAATAAAAAAAGTAAGTCAGTTGATTAATAATAATTGAACTTTATTGATCTTGAATTGTAGAAATTTTCTTCTGCATTTAACCCATCCCTTTAGGGAGCAGTGGGCTGCCACTGTGCAGCGCTCGGGGAGCAGTGTGAGGTTAAGGGTTTTGCTCAGGGACCCAGAGTGCAGACTGTGGGGATCGAACCGGGTTTTGCAACCTTCAAGCATATGGCTCTAACTGCTAGGCCATCACTCCCCATTATGGGGGTTTTCAGACCAACAACTGCTGTTTAGGAATGAACACCCTGTACAAAGACAATATATGAGTTTGAAGAATGTTCTAACCATCCCAAAAAAATTACACTAAATAAGATTTAGCTGAAAAGTGAATGAAACAGAAATTAATGAAATGGAAAAGAAATTCCAACAAAGGATGCATTAAACTAAGTCCACTGGCAACATACACAGCATATATCAAAAGAATAAAAGTGCACCAAACAAACTTATAACACATTTATAATCAATATATTCAGTGCTTGTAATTTAATAAGGTTAAAAAAGGTAACCTCTTTCAAGCATTCATAAATTTCAGAATATAGCCTAGGCTTAGAGATGTATTTTGATGCCTAAAGATTAAATCTATTATCAGACACCACAAAACAACGTTTTGTTACATTCCACACATTTAATGGCAGCTGTTGCCACCAAGGGTAGCACAACCCTCATTAGGCTTAGCTGGTAATTACTATTTAGAACATTTCATACTTTTTCATTTTTATAAAGGAAAGGTCATCAGAATTTTTTTTTTGTATAAAAGTTATCAATCTAAGGTATTAACTGTAACATAAATAGATTAGAAAATAATAAAAGAGCATGTTTTCACATTGCCTTAATTGAATTTGTTGTTGTCATTGTAGTAATTGTTATAAATGAGTAAAAATCCTATAGCTTATAACTGTTCTAATTCATAAACATAGTGAAGATATGAAATAGAAAGGCAGCCCTATGGTTTAGGTTAGATCATCTCACTTTAGTAAATTTAGGTTATTTAAGACACATTTGACCCAATAAAAAAATCATCAAATGAAAATCTGTTGGCCTGAGCATGCCGTTATATCCAACCCATTAAGATATAATTGAGCATGAATCCCCTTTCATCAGCAAATGAACTGCAGTTTCAATTTGCATATTGAATTAAAAATGATGTGTGCTGTGTTTGTGCGTGCACACCATGCTCGTGAGAGCTCTAGTTAAAGACAGGATGTTCTTTGGAGATAGACCGCCTCTGCTGACCTCCAATTCAGCCTAAAGGCTTAATCTACTGTTTGTGCACCACAATAGCAGATCACAACTTTTTAAGTGGTACGGCATGAACAGGCAAACAAAGAAACTTGGGGAAACAGCTGAACAAACAGCTGTCCTGTTGAGGGCAGCTGAAAAGGATGATTAAATAAGAGATAAATATTAGATTTATGATACCGTAAAAAAAAAACAAAAAAAAACACAACTTTCCTAAATTTTGCACAACTCACCTTCAAAACTCTATCTAAATACATTTCAATGGAATTCATCCATTGCCAATTATCCTTGTAAAATATTTCTTGTTTTTTTATGGTGCTTCCTTTTACATAAATGAGCAACCATGAGCAAGATAGTTTGACAGTTTTTTTTAAATGTTTTTTATGTTAAGTTAGTTTTCTGGTCTTGCATGTGTCAAGAAATGCAAGCTTTATTTTACAACATTTGAGAGTGATTTAAACGATAATATTAAGCACAATGTTTTTTTTAGAAAATACACTGCAGCACAAAAATGTTTATTCATTTCATTTGAATCACATTTTGTCTCATTACAACATTAAACTTCACTGCATTTTATGTGGCTAAGATGTGACAAATTATTCATTGCTTTATACTTTTTTTGGAGACGAAATCTATTCTAAAAAGGGTGAAATATATTTGTTTTCAGCCCCTGTCAGTCTATCCTTTGTAAAAACCGGTATCTATCATTATCCACTATAGAACAGGTCCCTTACAAACACGCACTGCAAGGCTGAGAGGATGAAGCCATTGGATCCAAAAGGTAGCATAAAAAGCAGAACTTGAGTGAGCAAATGTGCACATGAACAACCAACTTATCTATTCCTTAGCTTGCAAGCTGGAGAACACCAGAAACCAGAAAACATGCGGGTGTCGATATCAATTTGTGTTTCTCCAAATGAGTGGTTTTCTTTACAAAATTCATGGCTATATGGGGAGAGAACATTTTTTGGGGCAAAGTGAA